TGGGATTTTCTTTCCTCAAGTCAAAAGGAGACGGAGGGGAGGAGGAACAACACTGTAAAGACTGTAATTAGAGAGGAGAAAAGACATTCCCAGACTGGATTTAAGCTAATGAAGCTGGGCATTACCGTCTCCTAGTATGTGTCTGTCTTACGTTTCACAGCTTGTGCTCAAAAATACTGCAGTAAAACGATCAGCATGTCCACAAGTAGCTAATTTAAAGCTACTTCAGATATGTCTTCACTGGGTCATCATTATAAGAACTGCAGTGGACGAATAACCAGAGGAAGACAGAATAGATTTGTTTTCTAAGGAAAATGAACTACTCTATCATTTTAGACCCATCTCTTGGATCAAGATAACAACTATTACTCCTGCATTTCATTGCTGCAGACCTGATTTGGATGCAGTGGGTAATGAAAGAGAAATACTACTGTGAAACAACATAATCAAAATCATGCCCCTTTTCAGGTGGAGGCAGATAAAAAAATATCACATTGGGCCTTACATTTATATAATTGTATAGGACAGAAAGTAAAGGTGGTAGAAGAACAATGACTGAAATCTATTTGGTTTCAGTGCAAGCAGAACAAGGCCTACCTGAACAATGAAAGTAAGTGATTTTATATACATATGTCTAGATAGTTTTGACAGCAGTCTCTTGAAGTATAAAATTTCATAATAAAATAAATGTTTGTTCCTTACAACATCATGTGCATATTTTTTTAGCATACTCTGGTTTCTACCTGATGGTGGCTCTAAACAGAAAAAAAAATATGCATTTCACTCCAATTCTGAACACATCTGTATTTTCTAAGAGTAATTCTTAGAAAACTGCAAGAGGTTATGCCTATGGCCATATGTGGCCTACAACAGTGGATTTCTTTAGGTATGAAATAGAGATCTCAGAATTGCAAGTAATAAATATGATTTTGATAAGCACTTCTACACAGGGAAGTAAGAACCTACTAAAAAGTTTTCTGTGAAGTACCTTCCTCTTCACGTCCTGTATTACTCTGTACTTATAAATAATAAAATAGGAGACTGATAACAGTAGCTTTATGTAAGCAAGCTTAGAAATCACGTTCAGATAAGTGCTTTTGACCTAAATCTTGTAGCGCCTCGATCTGACATATAACCCCACAACTTTGAAATTCTCTATGAGATTTAGCAGTTTGAAGCTGCTAACTGACCCAGCCATAAAGCAGCCAGAGATAAGGATTTAAGGTACGATATGATACAATTAGACATTCACCTTCTATTTATTTCAGTCCATCTCAGTATTTAACCTACTTAAAAGTTGCAAGCTTTTTATTAAAATGTAAATGCTGGTATGCCATATATTTATATGCAGCTAACAAGAAGAAAAAAGGACTCTCATAAATTAGATTTCTGTGAATAAAAAGGGTAAACAGAAGATGCTTCTGCAAAACTCTTCTAGACGTGCAGAGATAAAGGATGGTTCTACCACACAAAATAATCAGATACAAAAATAGCTGTTCAGAAACAGCACACCTAAGGAGTACTTTAATCAAACATTTAGGTTACCTGCCAAAAGGACCATGATCTCTTCAAAATGCAATGCGGATTAAAGTGTTATCTAACACAAGCAGAAAACTAACCTTGGAGTGGAAGTTCGAAATGTGTTCATCATAATTTTCATGTCTTTGGATAGAGAAACCAGCTTTTTCAGCTAGATTGCAAAACTGGTTTAAAGTATTCCCTCTGTGTGGAGCAAATACCATTGCTTTTCCCTGGAACATTAAAAAGAGAATTTATACATTTTTTTAAATTGGAAAGGAATGAGATATAACATACACCTGACTAAGCTTTTAATATACACGGGTTGGAAAAGACAATTGTTCTCTTGGTAAAGTATTAAAACAGGATAATATAAATCATTGTTCAAACTATGCAATATTTCTGTGATTAAACAAAAGCAAAACAGAAACTAATAAATTCTTTATAGAACTGCTAACTGCAACACATCTGCTACTTTTCACATACTAGCAGTGCCTACAAATTCCCTAGCTAAAACACAGTAAAGGCATACAGAATATAATCTCAATGCAAAGCCATTTGTTAGCTCATGACCACACAAGGACTGTAAATAATATTTTTCAATTTTTATTCTCATGCATAGAAGAGTACCTCTCACTTGATGTCAGTGCAATTACAACGGGGCAAAATGGAAAACAAATGAGACCCAATCATTAATTTTTTTTTTTTAATGTTTTAAATTACCTGAGCAATGCAACTGAATTCAACCCTAAATGCAAAAAATTGCATTGAAAGCACAACTTAATATTCTTGCATAGTAATTCATGATCTTTCAAGATGATCAGGCCATTTATGATGCCCAGGCAATATGTTATGGTCCATTAGCTAGTAGTTTGTTCATCCTTCTGTATTTAAGAAAACAAAAATGCTTTATCTTGAACTGATAGATTTTAGACACCCTGTGCAAATTATTTGCCCCAAACCTCACCTATTTGATATAGCATCTCTTAAAATCTTATTTGGAAAATTAATTCTAATTGGCTGAGTATTGTGCTCTGTCACTTGGAATGAAAACCGGCTGAAGAGCTGTAAACAAAGGTTAATACCAACAAGCAGTGTATCAAATTGAGGTGAATACAAAGTTTACTGCGAATTCTTTTATTTAACTTCTATATTAATGACAGCTAAGAGTAGTTTGTGAGGTGCTGTAACCAACCAAATAAACAAAAAATTTTTTTGTAGGAATCTAAACAAATAACAGAATTCATTCACCGTAGAAGAATATTTGGCTAATGAAAATGCAATTTCATGTATGAGAAAAATAGTAAAAAAAAAAAAAATTGAATGAAAGTCAGTAAGGATTCAGGAAAACTATAATGCTGACACAGTGAGGAGGATAAATGACAAATCTATGTGCCACAGCACATGTACTCATACACTGAGAGAACACTCGGTGAGGCAGCAAGAAAAACTACGTCAGTATCTATGGTACTAATGTGTACATAAAAGACTGCAATCATTAATACCATAGCACTGCATTCATTCTCACAACGTCTCTGTGAGATAGGGAAATACTGTTATCCTCATCTCTCTCATGGGAAATTTAAGCACAAAGGAGACCAAGGGCAATACCCAAAGCAACTCAGTTTTGCTCACTGGTGTAGCTGTAACTTTCATTTTGTGGCTAAATAATTTTATGCACAAAGGAGTGTAACTCCCACTAAAGGAACTGGAATTGCTTATGTAACTGTTAGGTCTGAATATAGGCTCAGGATGAAAAACATTAAATGCTGGAAATTCACAATCAGTGTGAAATGTGCCGTAACTTCCCTCACATCCTTGGCATGCTTTAATGTTATCAGGCAGAAGTCAATAGCCTTCTGCCGAGGATCCTCCTCCCGCTGCCATCTCATGCTCCCTAGAATGCTGTTCTGCAGAGACTCTCCTAGCAGAAGGAGGATGAGACTCCCCTGGGAGTCCCTCATTTTAACCAGCACCTTCATTGTAATGGGAAATGTGTACCCTGCCCAGGGCATTTACTGACACCACCATTTGTGGGGATATCAGCAATGGTTGAACTTTTGAGTTTCTTGGGGTACCAAGTTCAACGTCAGTCACAGTTCCAGCAGCTTTGATGAGGCAGTAAGGTTCATACATCATCACTGCTGCCCTTAGAGATTTCAGTTTGAAGTCAGCAAACTATGCAATCAGTCCTTCTTACACTCTGTAGACTAAATACTTCAAATCTAATTTGAAAGAGAAATACAGTAAAATAGAGTGTAACATGGTATATCTCTTAAAACCAGATTGAAAATCTTGAAATAACTTTAGAAAAGTAGAATGGTCCTTCATGGACATCACCACACCGTTCCTGCTCATTAGCTGGCATAAAACGCCATTCCTCTATTGAATTTAGTGCACGTCTAAAACATTTGAGAATCTAGCCATTGCTGACTAAAAATGAAGCATGATTAAGTTTATCACTGCAATAAAATAAAATCAGATACTGGAGATACTTCTAGCCTAACATAATCTTGGCTTAAAGCACTTGCTGATCAACTGCCTGATTTGTGTGATTCTGCTACCTGTTGCGTGGGATTGCATTCACATTTCTGATTTTAGAATCTGACAACATGGTTTAATAACATCCAATTAACTTCACTGGGATTTTGAAGGGATAGGCCACAAAGGAATCTATAATTTTAAAAATTCACACTTTTATTACAAAAATAAGCAAATGACTGTTTATTATTTGAGAGAAACTAAATGTATATTTTAATCATAGGGAAAAAATAAAATTAAATGTAGGTAAATCAAGTAGCTTGCTTGGAAGAGGAATACAATAATGCTCCTCAAGATGAATTTCTCTGATGTAAAATTTTAGTGTCTAATTCTGGGAACTGGTTTTCAGATGATGTTTGCCTTTGTAACAAATTCAGATAAGAAGTCTCAGTCCCCAGTAATTCTGCAAGCTGCTAATTTCTGCCTACATGCATGCATGTCCTTCCTTCCTGTGCCATGCTATGGCTTCCAAGAAGCCATACTATGTATCAGATGACTAACATGAAGAGAATCCCTCGTTCCAGGAAGAAAAGTTACTAAGGACACACACAGTTCTGTGACATTACAATTTCATAGGGATGGCATCAGCCACAAATAAATAACTACAAATAACATCCTTAATGCAAAAGGAAATAGCAAAGATAATTCTATATCAAGAACAGTGAGAATAGATTATCTATGCCCACTTTCTCCTTCAAGTCAGTTTTTAGAATACTTGTTATTTTCTATTTAACTCCACTTTTTTCCAAGTTTTCTGCTCTGTTATTTTTCTGAAATTCTTTCATTCTAGTTATACCTGAGTTGTTAACACCTGAAAGGTGACTTTCATCTAGATGTGTCTTTCATTTGTTTCTTTGCCAATTTGCCAAAATATTACTAATAATGAAATATAACTTCTACTTTTGAGACAAAATAACTCATGCAGAAAAGTGAACTTAATCAAAATAGTTTACAGCTTATCTTGGGCATTTAATAAAATGCACTCTGTTACCCTTGGATTTAAACAGAGCAATATAGAACAGGAAAAATGAAAACTAAATGATAACTAAATGTAATTGTATCCTCTCTTGGGATCTCAAATGAGCATATGAAAGACACAAGTCTTTCAAGTAAGAGCATATCTTGATGGCATATCTCTTTAGCATGCCTTTTTTTCTTAACAAGGAAGCTCACTTAAGAAGTCCACGCTCTCAGCTTCTACTGCACAGTCTTTTGGTGCCCTCTTTATGAATAACAATTACCTGTAAAGCCATTTCATAACTGATATCCATTCATATGGCCATGATCTGGAGGCAAGGAGCTGATGAGAGAAAGGAACTGTGGTCTAAAATACACATATAGGCTGAGCTAATAATCACACCATGCATATGACAAGAAACAAAAAGCCATCTCCTTTTATATCATCTACATTCACAAAGAATTGTAGCTCACCTGCTCAAAAAAGGCATATTCTGAATTTGAATTAGCTGACCACAAGCAAGAAAGTCAGGAAGGTTTTGGTTTAAAGCCAGGTTAACAATTCCTGGACTATTTACAGACGTGAGCTGTAAACACTGGTAAAAATTCAGGCTGCTTTACCCTCACCATATTTTAATTCACTTTCTCCACTTGAGCTAGCCAGCCCAGTTAAAGAAAGTGTGCGTGTACATATACACACGTACGCATGCTTTTGCCAATACAGACTACCATGACAATTGAGAGAAAAGAAAAATAGCTATTACTTCACTGCAGCTAAAAGCTCTAGATAGGTCACAGTTACCGGAGCATCTCTTATACACTTCCTGATGCTCATACTCTTCTTGCACAACATCTTTTCATGCTAGCAGTGCAGTGGCCTATGGTGGCACCTGAATATGTGAGGGCCCTGATCCAGGCAAAAAAAAATTTTTTTGGCCTTTTATTGATCTGAGATAATGTTTGTGTTCCAAATCACCTAGAGGTCCTCAACATTATTGTGTATGGGCAGCTGACGATAGAACATCAGAAAGCATAACCATGGCCACGAGTTCCCTATATCACCCTTGCTTGTACTGATAAAAATATCTGGGTAACATTTTCCCCAGGGTGACTACATTTCTCCTGTCTGCCTGGCAGCTTTGATCCACATCTCATTAAAATCATTCAGTCTTAAGTAACTTGCCTTAAGTCACTCAGGAAAGTCTATGATAGAACCAAGAATAGAAACCTGATCACTCTTAGCAAAGAATGGGATTACTTACATGGCTAAAATGACTCAGTTTCTTAAGTCTTTGCATGTTTGAGACTCATATTCCTTATGTAGAGAAAATCTCTCACACAAAAAGTAAAATGGAATTCTTAAATAAAATTTGGAGAATGCATTGTTAACACTAAATAGCTTTGTGCTGAAATGGAAAATTTACCATGCTGAAAGATTTGTATGGTAAGCATGAAAGGTACAATTCTGTTTCTTTCTTACACACTTCCTTCATGTGCTTTCTCCTATTCCCTTTTTGATCTCTCTCTCTCTTTTTAATTAGATTCAAGATTATTTGTTGGTTATAAATATGTGCATGTAACAGCTTCTTTTTGCCTGAAAGTCTCTCAGGTTTATTTTAATAACCTAGAAGAGTGAGATACGTACAATATTTTCTCAGTGACGCTCATGTAGAATATTTAGCATTTTATTAAGAGCTTGATTTCACGGTGTTTTAAAATTGAAAATGTGTAAATACAAGGTCTACTTCCTGAAAAAAAAGTTTTGTGCTACAACATATGCATAAGGGGTTTATTCATTTCACATAAACAGAAATGAAAAGAAAAAAATATTCTTTCATAATAAATAAATACACAATGACAAAGGTTACAATTGAAGGGATTACAAATGACAGAAGCCAACATAAAAACTTTCAATATCATACTTTTACTTTAATATGAAGACATTATTATCAAAGGAAAATACTCGAGAAACGCTTTGATAAAAATAATCTCATGCTATCTTTGAAGCGGTTTCATTTATTTTACTACCCACTGTGTTCCTTATCAGAAGGCCAAGTATAAGAAGTTTCCTAGTTTATGATTAGGAAAGAATCTGATAGATTAGAAGACTCAATTGAAGTTGGACATAATAAGTATTAAAGTATTACATGACATTAATCCTGCCATTCCATTACTCTCTCAATCATTGTGCACAGACTAATTATTCTGAAGCCAGTGTTCAGGAGAAAATAGAAACATACTTACACTGGGTTGGAGTAATCTCTTTATTGCATCAACAAGGCTAGCTCTGTACTGGTCCAGAAACAGGCTGACATTGAGAAGAGAACAGAATCCAGATTAAAATGGGTTTTCAATTCTAATGATACTAATGCAGATAAGTACAAGGCTAATTACACATGTTTACACAATGCCGTAAAAGAGAAACTGTGGTCTACATTCCTGTGGTCCAATTCAAGTACTTTTTAATTAAAAAATAAACAAAAATAGGTGAAGCATGAAGCAAATATAATCTAAACCAAAGCTCAAATATCAGCATGAACCTTTGCGAGGCTGAAATTCACAGATCATATATACATGCTATTAAAATACCACCCTATCAGAAATCAGAATCAATACACTGTGATACAAAGCTAACATTTTACATGCTTTCTGCACAAGGGAGGGTGGAATTTTTAGAAGTATCTTCTATTGTACTTTGGGATCTATTATTAAAGGTATTTTTTTCCCTTTTCCCTTTACAGTTGTAGCATTAGTTCATTATTATGTATTATGCAGATTTTTTTTTCTATTTTTATATCTATGTCTATTTTTCCACAGAAAATTTTACAAGCCCCTAACTCTTCACTCCCCCAAATGCTGTTCAAACACAATGACCCAGATCATACAGAGTTGTCCTCCCTCAAAACTGAAATCCTTCATCTCCTGCACTAAAGAGCAGTAAAGTCAGTTTTCCCATGCAATGTTGCCACATGCTCATCCCTATTTTGGCATGATTACCTCATGATTTGAGGGGATAATCCACTCTTCACGCCCCTCAGTACCTTAATGTATATACTAATACTGGCAACCAGGGTGCCAATCACTCTTGACTAGATATTTGTGGACAGGTAGTTAATGTGGATGAGAGACATTTACAATTGTTAGTGAACAGCCATCAGATAGCAACCAGTGCTTTTCAGTCCTTACTACCGTGGGCTCCGTTTATACTGGTAATTTAGATAACAAAGACTCCTATCAAGCAGGCCATAAATAATGTGATTCTTTCTTCATTATTTTTCATTCTTTTGCTGTAATAAAACTACTTCCAGTTTCTGTCAAGCTCGAGTTCCACACTAGAAGGCATTTTGCCCATTTTTTATGGTGCTTTTTCTACAATCTCCATTCCTTTTTACTAAACTAACACTTTCTGAAGGGTGGGTGATTTTTTTTCCAGGTTTGAAATTTCTAAATGAATATATGAAAACAGTGGCCTTACTAACTACAAGCCAGTGAGTAATAACAGAATATGTGTGGATAGGTAAGGACACTCCACAGTTACTAAAGAGAATACAATAATAAGTATTACAGGGTGAAACAGCTGTGTAAGAACTGTAAATTTTCCTACTCAGGAAAATAAAAAAAGAGCCTTGCCAGCAACTAAATATCAATGAAAAGTGGCAAACTCCCATATTGTTGGAAAATATGTAGACTGGCTATCCATGTATGACACATTTCTTAAAGAACATTTTGTACAGAAGTATTACATTTTTAATTCCTTCAGGAAGATACCGAATTACTGGATGATAAGTGGACTGACAGCCTATCCAAAAGGAAATTCAAATTTTAGCAATTGGCATGATAGCTGCTCTTCAACCTTGATTAATCTTACTGGAAGGAATGGACAAATATTTGTTTAAAGTTAATTCATTGAAACTGCAGTTGATCTCTGTAATGTCTCCTGGGAGCTTTAGTCACACTCATTTCAGGTAGATCTCCGTACAGACAAATACCATAAGACGTTACTTTGCCAGGAACATGGCCACCTGCAGAAGAGATGGAATACAGTGCACGAGTTCTCTCCAAAGAGAATATCTAAAAATAACGAATTTTCTTCAACATGAAGCATCGCAATTTTCCAGAGCAAAAATCCATTTTTCAGGGACCTTCATATCATTCTGTCTTTTTACAATGAGACAGGGGCGCAGTTCCTTTGCAGTCATGTAATTATAGGTCTTTGTTCACCAGGAACTTCAAATATTCAGGTGATCTGCCAAGAGACCGGACAACTTTAAGGATACCATTTCTGACTGACACCCACTTGATATTTGAGTGTTGAAGGAGGCAGACTGAGACCTGCCACATACTCTGACCATAGGGAGCATGGAAGAACATTTCTAGTTTCTATCTGAGTTGGAGTATGCCCTGGATGAGGAAAAACCAGAAGTTGTCAGATGATTTGTGATGCACATAGGTCCAGCATAGGATTTGGCCCATGCAAAGAGATTTAGTCATGCAATTCCTCTTAGCAGTAGCATTTGTAGGATTAAACACTAACATAGTATACTGAATATGTACCCCTTGGAAAATCCTTTAAAGCTCATTCAAATTACATAATATATTGTTCTAAACCACTCTTACTTTGTTATCATACCTCATTTTAAATTTGGCTTGGATCACTTTGGTGGGCTCAGTATTTTTTCTATGAAAAAATGTGATATAAGCTCTTTTTTCTATAAAAAAGATCCTATGTTTATGTAGAAAGGAACCTGCAAAAATACCAGTGTAGGACAAGAATAAAAAGTTTTTTTGGGGGCCAGAAAAAGTTTATGATCTTGGTAGTAAAAAGGCAAGAAGGTGGTTTATGATTTGGCCTTTCTGTAGGCAGTGCTGTTAATTTGTAAAATCACATGTAAGTTTACACAAAAGTTGTATGTAAGCAAGCCACAATGAAACATTCAATAAAAAAGTAGATTCTTTCTTCATTTCATGCTGCTGTTTTGTCCTGTTATCCTGTGCCTTGCAACAACTGGCACGTGCTTACATTTTATAGACTGCAATGTGAACTTATTCTTCTTTTTGCATATTTTCAATTAGAAAAGGAGCTTAGTTTACAGGTGTACTTCAGAAATGATTACATTTACAGGTAGTGAGTGCCCCATGTAAGAGTCACTTTTAGTTGACCTTCACTTGCGTGGCTAACATAAACCAAAACAACCTTCTACGCTGTCTGATTACAGTGCACTTGAAAGTGTGGGCAAGAAAACAGATTCATTATGAAATGAATAATAGATTTAAACTGAGGAAGAATAGAAATCTTCCTGCATTCCTGCAGAAAGATTTCTTTATATTAAATGAAATACTAACAGGAAAAAAATGGGTATAGTGTAAGTTATCCAAAGAATATTTTCAGTTCAGTTTTGCATTCCTGGTGAATCCACGACTCCTCGTGACTTCAGCAAGTTTCAGCAGTGAAAGTAATGTGGGACAGGCCAGCCAGCTTCTGCAGTGAAAATCCTTGCACATGTGCCAAACTTTAAGAATACAATAACTTTAACTACATAAAGTTGGACACTCTGCATTTACGAGGCAATAATGAAGTTTTAGACCATATTCTATCTTTACATTAAAATTAGGTGTAAAAAATCAGTTCGCAAAAACCTGCAGGGCAAAGATTTTTCTGCTAGCTCTCCCCTCATGACCCTGACTGTTTTCTCAGACTAAAAATCTCAGCAACTGAGTTTTCTTACTTTCTTTATTTGTCTTAGCAAAGAAAATAATCAGAAATGTGAGGATCCTCGGAGCTTTGGCCGAGTCTTGTCTGTGGCCTATCCAGCAGACACCTGTTATTTCTTCTCTGTAGTCATACTCATGCTCACATTTCCAGCATCTGCTTGACCTTGTACCTATAAGCACAGGTCAAATGAAAGTTCAGAATTCTGGCAGCCTCACCTGGCCTTGAAAATGCCCCTTAAAAAAATGAGGTGAGTGGATATGCTCTAAGAATTCCATTATTTCAGTAATTTCTTCCCAAGTATCCTTTTTCCAGGTGTGGGCTTGCAGAGATACATATTTTTTCCTTATTTTTTATCTCAGAGTTGACATTTTACAAGTTATTTCGGAACTGCTGAGCCATGAAACTATTTTTATTGTCAAAATCCTGAATGGTTAAATAATGACTAGCTTTCACCGTTTGCCTCATATTTATTTTATAATCTAGTTGAGCTTCTAAATTTAGCTGTTAACTAATAGACTGTCTGTTCTGGGAAGTAAGTTATTTTCCACCCCTGCACACAAGGTTTATGAACGCCTGACTGTAAATATATGAATATAAACACATCACCGCTTGTTGTAATCACGTACATTTTTACTTGAACCTCCATGTGGATTTGGAATATGTTTATGAATAGAGCTTGTTTTCATGTAAATGGGATCAAGCAGTACCACTGGTTAGCTGTTCAGGGAATCAGACAATATCACCCTTACTGGAAATACTTCAATAAAAATTTATCCATGTACCTAATATTTGAACTCAGATTTTTTGCTTTATAGTTCTCTGTTCTAATCCCAGATTTTATTGACTGACAATGAGCTATATGGTGGTGTTAAACTAAATACAATCTCTCCTATCTGTTTTTATCACTGAATACTTCAGGTTTCAGCTGTGGAGCTGTAAGAAAAGAGATTTCTTTTCCTCTTCACTGACAGCCCAAAAATTCAGAAAGCAAAAATCCTGCCAACAGTTCTAAAGCCAATTCTATATCTCAGAAGAGAAATACATGAAAATGAAAAGAAGATTTGAGTTTGATAAAGCAAGGAACATTTTTTTTTTCCAGCTTTTTCGTGTATCAGAAAATCTAGTGTCCGTAACTAAGAGAATGATTTTTAAAAGAAGCAAACAATAAAAGGATTTCATGCTTATTAAACTAGATATGTGGGCACTTGGAATAAGAAAACAGAGGCAATTTCCGAATAAAAACACGCACTTTAAACTAACCTGCACATTTCTATTTATTTTTTAGGAATCTATAAATATTTATACACTTACCTGCATCATAAGTGCTTCAAAATAAACATACAAAATGCAGGGATTGCAAATGCATAATGTATTTTACCTGTCACGTGTGATTCTTTGTTTCCTAAAGAAACTACACACTATTTCCAAAAAGACCAGGAGGAGTATTAACAGGACTATTACTGGCAAAAAAACCCAATAACTTAAGTCTCTCTCTGCTGTACCCACAGAGCAAATAGGATGACATGGTGTGAGTATCAAGAGTACAAGAGATGGCACAGCCAGGTTGTTTTGATATTTGCGTGAAGAACAAATTTAACTCTAAATCTCTTGGCAAGACCTTGCTTCACCCACATAATCTGGAGAACATCCATATGTGAGCCTTGTCTAAGCCTCCGAGAAGACTGCTGCCCTCCTGCTCATGTCCGCCAGCACTCTGATCTGACTTTCATACTTAATCTGATCTAATCCTGCCCAGCATTAACTTCATCTGTGCAATGAAACCTGGAGTATCCATTCTAATATTTGGTGAGGAAGGCATTTACTAAATTACTTGCTGAAATCATATGGTGTTGTTTAGCTCCTTATTTTAATCAGATGATGCATCTCTGAGGCACATTATCAGCGATTAGTTAGAAACCCTTCTCTGTCCTTTTTGGGAACAAAGAACTCCTCTGAAATTAAATGAAGCACTGTTGCATTCTGCAAACAAGCAGGTATTAGAAAAAGGAGAGAAGGAGGACTAAATACACTTTCTCCGATGTTATACAAAAATGATAACTTTTCTGGAATCAGAAGAGTTTGCTTAAATAGCAAAACATCAAACAAGAATAAAAATAAAAAATAAGAATAAAAATAATTAAAACAAAGCTCTACATGAATATTTTATCAGAAGCCTCTTAAAAAGAACATTGTTTAAAAAGACAATAGACAGCTACACACTTTCCTTTCTCTTTTTCCTTTAACAATTTCTCAGTAAGATGTAGAAATCTGCTGCACTGAGCTATCTAGGAAGTCCTTGTTTTCAGAATTTGGTCCTTTACAATGTCAGTGCAACAAAACATAAACAGCTTTTTCTGGTTTAGATGTTCAAAGGGTCGAGAGGAAATATTAATGAAGGAAGACTTCAAAATAACTACTATCCTAAATTAAATCTGCACATCCCTTTTTACATTTAATTTATATATTGCAAATAATTAATAATTTGACATTTAAAGTTAGCACACTGTAAATAAAGCAAGCACAATTCTACAAATTCGGTTTCAATAATGGTTTCTGTCAATAAAATCTATTTGCATAATTTATTAAACAATATCCTGTACTGCAACATGTATCCATCTTTTCACAAATTGAATGGTGTACTCTGATTTTTTTACTAAGAATTCTCTTACAATTAACATCTGCCACTGTAAATAACATAAAGCCTTTTTCTACAAATACTGCTCTCAAATTGATTTAAGAAGCAGAATGTCATGGGGAAAAAAAGGTTATAAAATCTTTTTTTCCTTGGAAAGATTTTCCAGGGAGCAAAAAAATATATCCCCTTATATCAATAGTCAGATCTTTCCTAAGAAGTAAGCTAATTGAGCTGTTTGTGTTGATAAACTCCCTTTTCTCCAGACTGTTCCTCACTGAGCCATAATTATTTGCAATTTGCCTAAGTCGTCCATTTACTGATACGTCAAGCATGAAACAGAGGCAATTCCAGAAAATGGAAATGCTTCTCAAAATCAATCTTTGGGAAATAATGTGGTAGAAGTTACTGTGTGATAGAAGACTACCTTATAACTGTCACATGGAGATGAATATTAATTTGTTGAGGTTAAGGTGGCTTTGTGCTTCATTTGTTGACTTTGCTTAGCCATCAGCAAGCAGCACAGTACAATTACTCCAGCAAAGCTATTTTTCTAACATGAGTTTTATGATTTTTATGTACTTACCAGTCAGCACACATAACAATGTCAAAATGTCCTTCCAGTTGAGAGACATCTGTCTCATTATCCCATCGTAAAATGCTGGAGGAAAAAAAAAGATTTTTTTAAAAAATGAAGAGAAAATAAAAAAAGGACTTATGTTTTTCATCTTGAGATTTTAAAAATATTAATATCATTCTATGTGACACAGGCATGCTTTTAAGAGCATACACTTGTTACTTTCAAAAAAGAATGTAAAAATATTACTCCGTATTTTTCAGTTTTAAATCTCAAAGGCAAAGATCCACCTTTTAATTATATCAGAAAGGCAATCCACGCAGGTTCTGATGAGTGGATCACCAACAAACATTCATTTCTGAGTGAGTGACACCTGTACGGCCTCAGATTTTTACCCCTTAGCACCACTGCACGAGGAAGCAAAGCCTGAGTATTGACAACCTGAATGAAATAGGAATTTGCAGACCAAATGGATCTTCGTTACATCTGGCAGGCGAGCCAGCCGTGTTTCTCATTGAGGAAGTGAGCATTCACTTGGGCTCAGGGGAGGAAAGACAGGGCGAAAGAATGCCAAGTTTAACTCTGGTGCTGGCTATGTCACCTCAGGCAAGCTCAAAAATACAGCAGCGCTTCGTCAACACCTAATCTCTTCTAGGTGATAAGTTATTTAATTCTGAGATAGCTAATAACAGGCAACAATGCACTTTTGTGCAAAGTTCTTCTTTGTTTATAAATGCTGCCAATTTATGAAGCTGCCACAAAGGATTTCGGTGCTCGGCTCCTTTTTAAAAAACAGCAAACCAGTGTTGGAATTTATGGCGTATTTAAAATATCATTATCCCAAAGATTTGAAGCTGCATTTCTATTTCTAGGCTATTTTTAAGGAAAAAGAAAAAAAAAAAAAAGAATCCATCTTCCTTTTTCATTTCCTGGTTATTTATAATAGAAAGTAGATAAATATTTATGGGAAAAGCACTTGTGGGGGAAGGGTCTAATCTGATCTTGTCAGGTTGTGCATGCTTATCTCAGTTTTGTATGAGTCTTGACCAAATAGACCCTTTAGTCTTCCCACAGCTATAATCTACTTCTGGTTAAAAGCCATCTCCATTCACATACTAGTCCTAATATTTAACTGAGGATCAGTTATAATGCATTCATTCAAAATGTTCGCTAAGTAGGCAGGAAGAAAAGAATTTTTTTTCATTTGCTACACTCTGTGCAAAATGTTGGTGGATATATAGGTCAGTTGAGACAGACTCACCGAGAATTGAAGTACAAGTATATGAGTATACATATGTAAACAGACACAAAATTTGAGGGAGAATGCTTTCAAAAGATGGAAATTATGAAAGGAGAAGCCCAATTGGTTGGGACAGCTTGAATATCTGGGTGTCAGCATACCCAAACAGATCAGGACTCATTAGCCCATTTTCCGTCCTGGAATTTACTGTGGCAATCCAAAGAGAGAAAAGAGTAGATTAATTTAATTTCCCCTCTTCGCCCCCCCACCTCAAATTGAAAGTATTCCAGATTTTAGAAGCCTAGGTAGCTTTGCACACTGGCACGCAGCAGGCATCCAGTAGTGGAAAGTGACAAAGGAGAGTTCTCACTCTCAGCTGCTGGCTGCCTGCTGGCTACCAGCAGCTTTTTCAACCCTGTTTCCGTGGAAACTTAGGTTAGAATGGTGAAAATTAGGTAAAGGTAAGTTTTGTGGGTTTAAAGCACGCACTCTAATATTTTAAGAATCTTGAAGCAGAACTGGAAATTGGTAGATGAACTGTGAGCCTTAAAAGGCCACCTTTGGTTCTCATTGCTACAGAAACAGAGATCTGATCGGTACCACTATAGGGATTTGGATTATGATTTTTTTAACCCATATATTTACTATACTTCACACACACAATTAGGAAGGCAGTCTCCTGGAAAACAAAGTCTCCTTCATGTTACTGTCAGGTTTGCACTGAGCACCAGAACACAGCATTTTCTTTGTACACCCATTTTAGGCACAAGGGAGATGCTGCAGGTAGGCAAAATAAGCCATAACGCTGGGCAAAATCCAGAGTAGATGACTTGCCAGGAGCATGAGCAACATGGTTGTCATGTGTGTTGCAACAAGGACTGAGCCAAGGACCCCACATTCAGCCGTAAGCCAGTCTTCCTTCACTTCCCTGATGTTGCACGAGGACTGATCTTGCTTACTAGATTTAATACTGTAGTTTTGCAAAGGCCAGAAACAAATTTAAATGTAAGATTTTTGAATTCAATTTTGCCATTAGCATTCGGAAGTATAAGGAAAATCTTCATCCTTGGGGGGGAAATAACCATATAAACTAAAGATAATTTGTATAAAATAAATAATGCATTAAGAGTCATTCTTACCTCACTTAGGATGCATGCACACCACTGGGAAAAGTGGGACTACAAGCTATATATCCTTGCTATCCTTGGACAAAAGTAAATATTACCAGTAAGTGAAGCACAGCTGGGGTACATGATGCTCAATACAGACTGCAACTTGTAAATTGTAGGTAGCTTAAGCTGGGTACCCTATTTACACTGTTATCTGTTCAATGCTTCCACAAATTTGCATGAGCTGCAATCGTACATCTGCATCTGCACCTGTAAAGCAGACATGCCCCCTTGTATTAGGGAATCAGAAATAATTCTGCTCAGAGTCAGCATTATTACATCATTAACACTGATGTCAGAATCAGTCTGATTCTGAATCAAAATCACATAATTTCAATTCTAGGGAAAGTAGTGAATCAGTCAGGATATGTACAAATACCATCAACTACCAATAAGACTCCTATAATATAAACGCAATTCCTGAATTTGAAGAACAGCAAAAGCCACTGAGAGTGCAAAACCACTGAGATATGTAAAGATGTGTCTAAATGCATGTGATCCATATGTACTTTATGCACTTCTAGGGATTGTTGAGGACGTGATTCATGGACTCAGTTGTAAGATCTGAAATGAATACCAAAGTCGACATAAAGTAAGGACTGACTGCATTTCTATTTAAAGAAAAATAGTGCTAGGAAACTCAGAAGAGTGTTAGCAACAGAAATATGATAAAATCAGTCTTCATGAAGTTTCCTATAAAAACAGACATAAAATGAAACTATGTCATGCCGTAAAAAGTTTTTTTTTTTAATGTCAGTATCATGCTGAGTGCAGCACAAAAAATACAAGCCTTGGTAATCCATCCTTCCTGTTCCTGTATATAGTACATACACTAATTCAGTGATACTGAATTAGTATATGTAAAACAGACTATTTTCAGAAACAGTGAAATTCAGAACAGATTTTATTTCTTATTGATTATTTAGTAATCAATAAGAAGTAGGATTAAATATTAACATGAGGATCATGGTGCCAAACAATTGGGAAGCCTGAGAAGATTTCTGTAACATTGTTTATTTCAGTCTGCTTGAATTCTTTGGGTGGTCACCTTGAATGGAAATAGCAGATAAGAGCAAGAAAATTCGTGAGTTCAAATTAGGAAAGAAAAAGAAAGTTTCTGAAGGTTCAGAATATTTGTTTTCCACTTTTTTTTTTTTTTTTTTTCCTCCAGAAAAATAAGAAATTTTAAATCTACAATATTTGTAAACCTTTGTTTTGAGGGAAGATGCTACAGTACTAACAGTACTAACTAAACTAAATTATTTTGTAAATTTGGAAAGTGCACTTTATGGTCTACTCCTGCCTAAATCACATTGTCAATGGCTTTAAAAAAACAAACAAAAAAAAAACAACAAAAAAAACCCCCACGAACATTTAAAGCTGTGTAAAACCCACTGCTGGCATTTATTTTGTGCTGGTTTAACTTACATAGGTTATGTTTCTTGGAGTTGAAATTAAGCATTTGGTTTTAGAAAAAAAAAAAAAAAGAGGATCTGAAACCCATTGAAAATAGAAAATGTTTGGGGTTCTTTTTTGGCTGTAAGATCAGAAATAACACAGGACCCAAGGGAAAGACACAACTGGAAAGACACGATTGTTAGTGTGTCTACTGTTAGTAGATGAACACTGCTCACCTGCCGTTTAAGCCAAGATGATGGTGTCTGAAGCTTGGCACCCAAGAATGTCTGCTCTATCAAATGAATTTGACCAGTTTTCAGCAGAAAAGTACCCACGTCACAAACCAATTACTATAATTAGCAATCTTGATGGCAGTCCTAGCAAAGAGGACAAGAACTGAATGAGCTATGGAGAATGAACTATCTTCTTACAGGCAGAGGTGACTTCTGGTTAGAGAGAAAGCATACCACCAAAATAGTCTGAGAAAATATGTACTGATGCTTTGGTTTCTGAGATCATTAATCTCACACCATTCTAAAGCATTAAATTTATTTTAAAAAATAGAAAGAAAAAAAATGAAAGCATGTTTATTAATTTCCTCATTTTGTTTTCTTTTTTCCCCTCACTTATTTTTTAAATTGCCAAACAGGCAAGATCAACTAAGAAAATACATACTGAAAAAAGAGCATCCTTTCTTTAAGTACTACCAACTCACCCAACCCCCAAATATCCCTCTGTGTTTAAAAGAAGGAAAGGAAAAAAAAAATCACAGCAAAACAGCAAACCTAACAAAGGCATTAAGGCACTTCCCCTGCATAGTCATCCTAATTTGTGGAAGACAGTGTAACAAATGTCAACACTCTTTAACACTAGTGAAGTATCACAACAATCTATAACAAAAGACCTGATTTTACTGAGTTTTCATTTCTCATAGAAAGTTCCTCGTTACTATTTTTATTCAAATTCTGTTATTCAGTGGTTGTCTAAGCAAGTAACTTACATTAAAAAAAAAAAAAAGAAAGAAAAAAAACTAAAAAGAAAAAACAAAAAACCAACCAACTCAAGTTAAGTCTTGGATAATAGAAACTTGAAACATTTCCAAGACTCTTTCAAATGTTTTTGAGATGAATGGCATAGGTTAGAGTAGCTCTCAAGTTAGCAAAAGACAAATAGTGCAAATACAGACAAAAAAATCAAAATGAGAAGAAAGGACAAAAGATACAAGAGCCTGCCTTGCTTCAAACTGTATTAATAATTGTAATACAGATTTTTAAAAA